TGATCATCGCCTCCACATGTATCACAAGACATCATTTGTATTGACATATTTTCATTAGATGAACTAGATGCATGTGAATTTTGACATGGGGAAATGGAAAGGGAAGAGGATTGCAATTAATCAAACTTAGAAGACAAAGCATCTAATTTTGAATTAATTATATTAATAGCATTAACCTCATACCTTCCACCCTTCTTGGAGATGCTCCTTTCATCGGGACTCCAATCGGTGTAGTTTTGAACTACATCCTCTATGATCTTGAGTGCTTCCGTTGGTGGATTATTCATGATTGGTCCACCCGATGCTCCATCCAACAATATACGATCCACTCTTAAAAGACCCCTATAAAACCCAAGGAGCAAAAGCCAATCCTCCATGCCATGGTGTTGGCTAGGGGTGTTCAGATCCGGGTACCCGGGTTTTCGGATACCCGAAACAGCGGGTACTCGGATCTTCGGGTAGTTTAAAACTCGGCCCATTACCCGACCCAAGAAAACCGGGTATCCGGATTCGGGTACCCGATTTTCTTGGGTCAGGTCATTGGGTACCCGGATTCAATATGATAATAATTTGCCCAAAATATGAAAAATGAGAAACAATCTAGAATCTACTACCCAACCTTCACCAAATTAGAAGAAGTACAATAAAAAATACACACAATTAGAAGAAGTGAAGTATAAGTAAACTACTAAAAATAGATCTTTATTAAAGATTTAATCAAAAATAAAAAAAATAAAACTCAGTTTCATCAGTAGCTAGTCTTCCTCCCACCGTCATTTACATCATCATTAACACCAACCATCATCAAAATCATTATCCACCATCAAAGACACCACTCGATTCTCACCCAGAAATTGAAGACCCACAATCAACCACCACCTTTCCTCGATTATAGCCTAGAAAATGAAGATCCCCTCTCAAAATTGAACCACCCACCTCCCCCATAATTCAAACAAAATTAGACCCAAGATGCAAATGAATAATCAATCACAAAATCTACTGAAGAATAAGAGGAATAAATATTGTATTATAACTTTATAAGCAAGGTTGGAGAAAGACATTGGAGAATAAAATATGGATAAGTTTTTGAGAGTGAGAAACTGAGAATGAGTAGGAGAGAGAGAGAGAGAGAGAGGAGAGAGAGGGAGGAGGGGCTAGGCGGCTAGCTGTGATTTTCTTTGTGAAAATTAAAACCCTAGGTGGTTGAGGGACTAAGGATCTGAGGCTTTTTTTTTTAACTTGCTGTTAATATATACGGGTAGTCGGGTACCCGAGTTAACCAAAGTGTGGCCCATGACTTGTCCCACGATCAGGCTATTTTGGTGGGTTGGGTAACCGACCCGGAAAAATGCTAAAAATTGGCCAATTACCCATTGGGTAATCGGGTCGGATTTTTTTTTTTACACCCCTAGTGTGGGCATTGTTGTTGGTAGCTCTTAAATCTCTCCCAAGCATCATAGAGTGACTCATCGGGATCTTATTGGAAGTTTGATATTTTGGACCTCAACTTCATTGTTTTCCTAAGAGGGATGAACCTCCCAAGGAACACCGAAGTTACCTCATTCCATGTGTTTAATGAGTTTGGAGGCAACCTATCTAGCCAATAGCTTGCCTAGCCCATGAGAGAAAAATTGAACATGCTCAACAAAATGTACTCCGGAGTCACCCCATTTGCCTTCACGGTGCTACAGTACCGTGTGAATTGCTTGAGATGCGCAATAGGATCCTCGTGTTTTTCCCCGGATAATTGGTGACCCTGTATCAAGGTAATAAGGGTGGGCCTTATCTCAAAATTATTTGCTTCAGTAGTGGGAGTAACAATCCCACTTGCTTCTTGATAAGGTGGAGGAACACCAAACTCTCTCAAGGTTTTATTTGGAAGAGCCATTTGAAATTGATGGAGAGGTGAAGAAGTTGCAGAATCAGCCCTTGGTGATTCTAGTGAAGTGGAGTCTCCATTAAAGTCACTAGAACTAAAATGCTTGGATTCAATGGATACTTGCAGTTCACTTGAAGTAGCACTACTTGCTCTTTCCCTTTTCTCTCTTCGTTTCGCCCTTATAACCTTTTCAAGCTCAAGATTCAACGGCACAACAGGTAGTGCTCTATTGTTGCGTTTGGGCATAAAACAAAGTGAACTAGATGGGAGATTAATAGGTTAGTCAAAGAAAACAAAGAAAAATAAAGCAATAAAAATGAACTAGTCTCACATATTTCAAAAGTAACTCAATGCTCAACGACATTCCCCAGCAAAGGCGCCATTTTGGTAGAGGATAAATCGGTCGTTGGTCGAATACCCTAAAGCCAAAAAATATTTCTATCTAAACCAACCTAAGACAATTCTAGGGTAAGTAAAGGATCGTATCCACTGGGAATGAGTATGGGTACACCAAGAACATGAAACGGTTGTAAGCTAGTTCGATCACAATATTGAGGTTTTTATTAATTAACTACTATGGAGACAAACACTAGGGGGAAATGAGAATCAACACTAACCAAACTAATAGATCAATACAATAGGTAAACATGAACACAAATTGGGTGATAGAAAGGGTACTCAACATTGCCTTCTTTCGAAGCCACAACACTAAGCATTCCTAAGCCAAACTCAACTAACAAGATAGGCCAACCAAGTCTCAATGATAAAAAGTATACTAGTAACTCGGGTTTGTCTTTCGATCATTTCGAGAAACTATTAAGGAACAAATAATTGGGGATTTCCACCTAATTATCGCAACTAAGACTACTACATCATCCAAACAAGAAACCGTGATCAAGAGGAATTTAGCATAATAATATAAGAAAAGGCTCACAATTAAAACTAATCTTTCAATGCAAGCATAGAAGTGAATACATGAGCAATAAGTGGCCATCCAATTACACATACAATTAACAAATCATTTAACAATCAATCATCAACCCAAAATGCACATGCAAGCACAAATATTAATTAACCAATGGCTTGGTTGGGTTTACACCCAACCCCTAGCTAAGAAACTACTCACTAATCATGGTGTTCAACATCCTAACAACAATATCTAAATTCAACATTAAACAAACAAGTCGAGAGAAATAGTAAGAACAAATTAGATTGAACATGCAACAACAAATAATCAAGATTAGAGAAGAAATTAACAGTGGAAAGCAATTAAAAACAGAAAACAAAGAGTAAGAGATAGAGGAAAAAGATTACTAATGAAGCTTCAAAGTTGAGGAATTGTTGAAATTGGGAGAACAAACTTCAATAAAACTATTACAATGATTGAGTTTTGAGGTAATCTAAGCTAAATTAAGAGAGTTATAAGAAACTAAGGACCTAAAAAGTCTAAAAGAGAAGAAGATCCTCCCTCCAAATGAAGCTGAAGGGGTATTAGATTACCCCCAAGTAGAAGGACGGAGAAAACGAGGAAAGTGCTTGTCTACAGGTTGGCACAGACGTGCCAAAGGTTGCATGGACGTGCTGACTTATAAAATGAGTGTAGTAGCTACTGGCTGCCCTTGCACAAACGTGTAGAATTTGGCGCGGATGTGCAAGGATGTGCGCGGACGTGCCACTTTTTGGCAAGGGCGTGCAACATTTTCTAACGAAAATAACTTTGTCTCTGAAGGCCATAACTTCTTCATTTCTTATCGAAAAAAGGCATGTGACTAGTCGCTTGAAAGCTCTTAGATGAGCTTTAATCTCCAATTTGAATGACTTCAAAATGTTGAGTGGAAAATAAGTTATGATCATTTGAAGTTGACCTTAGTGCAAAAATCCTACTAAAACCTTTTAAAATGCTCTTATTTATCTCTTAGACACTTTTCCTTGATTCTTTCATTCTTCCTTCACTGATTCATTCTTCCATAGCTCCCTTCTTTCCTCTTCTTGCCTTCGACTTCTTTGCTTCTTTATCCAAAAGCTTCAAAGTGCCAACTTTATACCTAAATATGCACCAAAACACTAGCAACCCCATGAAGCATAGGATACACAAGAAATGCATAAAAATAAAGTAATTAGTAAATTAAGACATTGATTTCTCACAATTATAAGGCTCAAAACCGCTCTAAAAGCATACAAAATTACATGCCATTTTGGTAGAGGATAAATCGGTTGTTGGTTGAATACCCTAAAGCCAACCAATATTTCTACCTAAACTAACCTAAGACGAGCTAGGTTAAGTAAAGATCGTTTCCCAAAAAAATGGGTATGAATACACCAAGAATATGAAACGGTTGTAAGCTAGTTCGGTCACAAGATTGGTGTGTTAATTAATTAACTACTACGGAGACAATCACTAAGGGGAAATGGGAATCGACACCAACCGAACCAATAGATCAATACAATAGGTAAACATGAACACAAATTCGGTGATAGAAAAAGCACTCAACATTGCCTTCTTTTGAAACCACAACACCTAGCATTCCTAAGCCAAACTCAACTAACAAGATAGGCCAACCAAGTCCCAACGATGGAAATTAGACTACTAACTTGGGTTTGTCTTTTGATCGTTTTGAGAAAGCATTAAGGCATAAATAATTGGGGATTTCTCACCTAATTATCGCAACTAAGACTACAATATCATCGAAACAAAGAACACTAATCAAGAGGAATTTAGCATTAATCATACAAGAAAAGGCTCACCACTAGACCTCAGCTTTCAATGCAAGCATAGAAGTGAATACATGAGCAATAAGTGGTCATCCAATTACACATGCAATTAACCAATCCTTTAATAATAATGATCAACCCAAAATGAACATGCAAGCACAAATATTAATTAACCCATGGCTTGATTGGGTCTTCACCCAACTCCTAGCTAAGAAACTACTCACTAATCATGGTGTTCAACATCCTAACAACAATATCTAAATTCAACATTAATCTAACATGTTGAGAGAAGTAGTAAGAATAAAGTAGATTGAACATGCAACAACAAATAATCAAGATTAGATAAAAAAATTAACAATGGAAAGCAATTAAAAACAGAAAATAAAGAGTAAGAGATAGAGCAAAGAGATTACTAATGAAGCTTCAAAGTTGAGGAATTGTTGAAATTAAGAGAAAAAACATCAATTAAACTATTACAATGATTGAGTTTTGAGAGAATCAATGCTAAATTAAGAGAGTTCTATGAAACTAAGGGCCTAAGAAGTCTAAAAGGGAAGAAGATCCTCCCTCCAAATGAAGCCAAAGGGGTATTATATATCCCCCAAGTTGAAGGATGGAGAAAATGAGGAAACGGCTTATCTACAGTTCACCACGGACGTGCAAACCTGTTAAAATAAATGCAGTAGCTATAACCCCCAAGTAGAAAGACAGAGAAAATGAGGAAACAACTTGTTTACAGTTCGGCACGGACGTGCAAACCTGTTAAAATAATTGCAGTAGCTACTGCCTGCCTTGCATAGACGTGCAGAATTTGGCACGGACGTGCAAGGATATGTACGGACATGCCACTTTTTGGCACGGGCGTGCAGCAGTTTCTAACGAAAACAGCTTTGTTTTGGAAGGCCATAACTTCTTCATTTCTTATTGAAAAAAAGGCATGTGACTAGTCGTTGGAAAGCTCTTTAGATGAGCTTTAATCTCCAATTTGAATGACTTCAAAATATTAAGTAGAAAATAATTTATAGTCATTTGAATTGGACCTTAGTGCAAAAATCCTTCCAAAACCCTTCCAAATGCTCTTATTTAACTCTTAGACACTTTTCCATGCTCCATTCATTTTTCCTTCATTGATTCATTCTTCCATAGCTCCTTTTTTTTCCTCTTCTTGCCTCCAACTTCTTTTCTTCTTTATCCAAAAGCTTCAAAGTGCCATCTTTATACCTAAATATGCACCAAAACATTAGCAACCCTATGAAGCTTAGGATACACAAGAAATGCATAAAAATAGAATAATTAGTGAACTAAGACATTAATTTCTCACAATTATAAGGCTCAAAACCACTCTAAATTCATACAAAATTACAAGCTATCAACGCTTCCATGTTCTAGAAGGTTTAGTAGTCATTGAATAAATTTTCTAGACACCGTTCCCCTGCATTGTGCTAGCTTCATGGTTGAGTTTACTTTCAGGTTGTTCCTTTTCCATTCCACCTTCGGCTACAGGGTTCCCAGGTAGCCTCACATACAACCCCACCAAACCTTTTTCCCGTCTCTTCTCATTCACCACATTACCCCTTTTTACAGCAAGTTCTCTTCACTTGTGTTTTTAGTGTTACCCTTCCTTCGAGTCCACCCTCTCCTTCAGTAGAAGCGGTTAGCCAAACTGCAGTTTTCGAGTAGCCGTCAGAGGGCCTAACTTGACAGCAGTTGGGTCCTCATAGCTTGGTCTGACCACCCCCTCTTTCCCATTCAGTTTACGTAGCAGAGCTTTCTCCTTCTCTCGGTCAGCAACAAAATTTTTAAGCATTTTCCTTGGAAAACCTCTCAAGAATGGCAAATATTTGCACACCACATCACCCTTGGAAGCATCTTCTTCACTGAAAAAACTAACAATCACGTTCTACATGGTCAATTCTGCCACAGTAGTAACAGAATTCTGTTAATCACTCATACTTTACTCCTACCCACTTTGATGACATAGGCCCTGTAGCAATTCTTATTCCTCTACGTGACGGTTTATGAAGGTCGAGCAAAACCTTCACTCGCATCACCTCGCCCCAGCTTAGAGGGTCCGAATTGTTGAAATCAAGGAAATCCCCCATACAATCTCCTATAACACGAGCCACTAACAAGTTCTTCTTGTTGAAAGAAACATCCTCCAGATGAATGCAAAATGGAGAGCAAGAGAAATCAATTTAAAAAGACAATTTCCTTCTTTGTATCTCACTGGAGCTTTTAAATAAATGCATATTTATGTATGGAGAATCATCCATATAATTAAATAATAATAAGATTATTAGATTAATAATGATGATAAATTATTTGCTACTCCGTATTTTATAGACTGAAATTGTTTGAGTATAATATTCTGTATTAATTTTTTTCCTTTTGTAGGTTTATATTTTTTTTGTTTTGTAGGTATATATTATTCCCACTACCTTGATTACTTTTTCTGCATCTTCAATTGCAAATTTGCAATAGCATGATTTGAAGAAAATGTTTTGTACAAATATTGGGCTAATAAATAAAAGTTTATTGTGTTTATTAAAAAATTGTTGTATGTATATTTGATATTGCTTAGTTGCTCGTAATAGTAATAAAAAGTGTTGTTATAATTAATTTTTTTGCATACGCGCTTATAAGAAAAAATAATTATTAGTTGAATTGGGCCCCAATTTTAGATTCGCCCACAGACCACAAAATTTTCAGAAATGGGCCTGCAAGTAACCCGTGACCGACCTAGTAACCCTTGAGGCGACTAACCTCTGACCGACCTAGTAATAACCCCTGACCGACCTAATAACCCCTGACCCAGTAACCCTTGACCGAGTAACCCCTGGCCGACCTAGTATCCCCTAACCAAGGAACACCAATAACACACGCAGCCAAACACCTACTCCTTGCAGCCTCTCGTACCCAACAATGCACAGCCACCTATTCCACCAGTAAAGCAGCCACCAATTCCACCAATTCCAACCACCACAACAATCAACCATCTCGCGCACCCAGCACAACCACCAGCAACAATCAACTATATTTTTTTCGCTGCAAAAGATACTAAAATCCAACGAAACCTACAAGTGCTTGCAATTTTAATTTCGCCATGAAAAGATCTACTAAAATTAAAATCAAGAAACAAACTATAAGTGTGAGAAAATTTACGGATTTCGTTCATGAAATCAAATACAAAGGATCGAGACTACACATAATTCAACACAAAGATTATGACAAAAGACTAACCTTGTTCCATTGTGAATCTTGATAGCGATCTCTAGAGATTTTTCTTCCCTTTAGCCTTTTTGCTTTGATTGTTTATTTGATGAATAATAAACTTAGTAATTTTTTTGAAACTAATGTTATGAGTTTTCATGAAAATAATAACAGCCCATAACTTCCTCTTTTAACCATAATATATATATAATATATGTGCCTCTTCATAACCAATCTTTATTTTAATGTTGGTGTCTTTTCAAGTGAATACTAATAATATTATATATATTTCTTAATAAAAGATATCATATAATATTTTAATAGGCAAGGGACGAGGGAATAATAATACTCCCAGATTTTAATCTCATTAATAGAAACCGATTCATCACGGTATCACAATTATTATTAAAATCTAATAACATTACTATAGACTTATTTCTTTTATTATTAAACCTTTGACACATAGGCCACATGGAATATTTAATAAATATTCTAACATTCTCCAACTTGGCCTTTGTGTCATCTTAATAGTTTAATAACTTCTGTAAATGCGCACATTAAATAAGTCTAATAAATTTTAATAACCTTAGTTGAATCAGAACTGATTGGATCATGGCGGTCACAAGTCATTGCGTGATATGACCCCTTCCATGTATCACAAATCAATACAAACTCAATAATAAACTATCATAAGTCTCAATATCCGTTACATGTCGTCTAATAACTATGTCTGTATACAAATACCATAATGACAACACCATTACATAAAGCAGAAACACAACCATAATTGCTTTACATAAAGAGCTAATCTTACTAGTATAGCAAGGCTTTATCTATGACACCCATACGTTCTACATGTCCAATGAACATCTTGGGTGATAGTCCTTTAGTTAACAAATCTGCAACCATCATGTCTGTTCCAATATGTTCAATACACACTTTACGCTTCTGCACTTCCTCTTTCACAGACAAGAATTTCACTTCCATATGTTTAGTTACTTTAGAAAACCTGTCATTCTTTTAGAAGAAGACGGCTGCGGAATTATCACAATAAATTCTCAACGGTCTCGCTATGCTATCAACAATACCAAGTCCTGAGATAAAGTTCCGCATCCACAATGCATGATTCGTAGCCTCAAAGCATGCTACCAATTCAGCTTCCATGGTGGAGGTGGCAAGGATAGATTGTTTGGCACTCTTCCAAGATACAGCTTCTTCAGCTAATAAGAACAAGTAGCCAAGTGTTGATTTCCTACTATCAACACATCCACCGTAATCTGAATCTGAATATCCAAGAACTTCTAGATGTTCGGATTTTTTATACGTAAGCATGAACTCCTTGGTTCCTTGCAAATACCTAAGAACTTTCTTAGCAGCTTTCCAGTGGTCCATTCCTTGATTACTTTGATACCGACCTAGCATTCCAACTGCGAAGCTAATATCAGGTCGAGTACAAGTTTGAATGTTCCAACCACTGATGCATATGGAATTCTTTCCATTTCCTTTCGTTCCAATTCATTTTTAGGACATTGCATTTTACTGAACTTGTCTCCCTTTTGTATTGGAACAACACTTGCAGAGCATTTTTCCATTCTATATCTCTTTAAGACCTTATCAATGTAAGCTTTCTGAGACATCCCAAGCCATCCTTTTAATCGATTTCGATGTATTTCTATTCCAATCACATATAATGCCTCACCCATATCTTTCATTTCAAAGTTCTTAGAGAGATACTTCTTTGTTTCATGCAACATACCCATGTCATTTGCAGCAAGTAATATGTCATCAACATATAAGACTAAAATCACAAATTTGCTCCCACTGAACTTAATGTAGATACATTTATCAACAATGACTTTTACTAAACCATAAGATGTGATAGTACCATTGAACTTTAGGTACCATTGTCTGGAAGCTTGTTTTAGTCCATATATTGACTTCCTCAGCTTACGCACCAGTGCTCTTTTCCTGTGGCCAAGAAACCTTCTGGTTGGTTCATATATATTTCCTCCTCTAATTCACCATTCAAAAAGGCGGTTCTAACATCCATTTGGTGAAGCTCAAGATCATAATGAGCAACCAAAGATAAAACAATTCTTAAAGAATCTTTCTTTGACACGGGAGAAAAAGGTCTCTTTGTAGTCAATGCCATCCTTTTGAGTGAAACCTCGAGCAACAAGCTTGGCCTTAAATCTTTCAATGTTGCCTTTGGAGTCTCTTTTACTCTTAAAAACCCATTTCGATCCAATTGTTTTGGATCCTTTCGGTAACTTTACTAAGTCCCAAACATTGTTATCGTTCATAGATTTCATCTCTTCTTTCATGGCAATCAACCACTTATTGGAATTGCTACTTTCCATAGCCCTTTTAAATGATGCAGGATCATTAGTAAGGCTATAAGTCACATTCACTTTCAATTGCATAAACCACATAATCATCTGAAATAGCAGGCCTCCTATCCCTAATGGACCTCCTTAATGGTTCATGTGGTTCAGAATTCTCTACTTGAATTGTGACTGGTTCATCATTCATAATTTCATCTTATGGGATTTGGACATCATTATGTTGTTCAGTTGTGCCAATTGGATATGATGCAACAACTGGTACAACAGCCTTAGAAGACATGTCAGGAGAAGTAGCTTCAACCTGAATTTCTTGAATGTCCACTTTTCGTAATTCTTTACTCCCACTAGTTTGACCATTTTCAATGAGCCTAGCATTTCCAGCCTCAACTATTCTGGTACTATGGTTAGGGCAGTAAAATATGTATCCCTTTGACTTTTCAGGATAGCCAATAAAATACCCACTAATTGTCCTTGGATCGAGTTTCTTTTCATTGGGATTATATAACCTTACTTCTGCTTGGCAACCCCAAACACGTATATGTCTTAAACTGGGTTTCCTTCCCGTCCATAGTTCATAAGGTGTCTTAGGAACTGCCTTACTAGGAACCCGGTTAAGCAAATATGTAGCAGTATTTAATGCATATAACCACAAAGAATCGGGTAAAGAACAATTATTTAACATGCTCCTAACCATACCCAATAAAGTACCATTACTTCTCTCCGCAACACCATTTTGTTGAGGTGTACTAGGCGTTGTATATTGTGCCCAAATGCCTTTACTTTCGAGGAACTTTGCAAATGGACCTGGACACTGTCCACTTTCATTATATCTTCCATAATATTCACCTCCTCTATCAGATCTCACGACTTTTATTTTTTTATCTAACTGCCTTTCAACTTCATCTATGAACACCTCTAGGACATTCACAGATTGAGACTTTTCACGCAGTAAATATGTATAACCATATCGTGAGTAATCATCGATAAAAGTGATGAAATACTTTTCTCCATTCCATGAAGGAACATCAAATGGACCACATATATCGGTGTGAATTAACTCAAGTAGCTGAGTGCTTCTCATGGCAGGTTTCTTTACTATGTGCTTAGTTTGTTTTCTTTTTATACAATCAATACACACATCTAGATCACAAAAATCTAATTGAGGTAAAATGTCATTCTTTACCAACCTCATTAACCTTTCTTTGGAAATGTGACCTAGTCTTTGATGCCACAATAAAGCAGAACTCTCATTAGTTGCACTATGCTTAATGCCTTGACTTTCAACATTAAACAAGGATTCAGAAAATTTATCATCAAGATCAAACTTATAAAGTGAATCAGTCAAAGTACCACTACCAAATAAATAATTATGTCGATACAATGAAAATCCACCATTTCCAAATTTAACATGAAAACCTAAGTTGTCCAATCTACTAATAGAAACTAAATTTCTAGCACAATTAGGTACATAGAGACATCTTTCAAGATCTAAATAACATCCAGTGTTTAAGATCAATCTATAAGTCCCTATTCCTTCTATCCGTGCCTTCATCCTGTTTCCCATGAACAAGAACTGTTCAGCTCCTCTTATGGGCTAGATCGAACTGAATCCCTGTTTAATATGAGACACATGAGTAGTAGCACCAGAATCTAACCACCAGGTATTATTAGGCACTTCTATAAGATTTGATTCAAAAGAAACAAAGCTATAATGTATACCTTTCTTTTCAAACCAAGCCTTCCTTTTAGGACATTCTTTCTTGAACTGTCCCGATTTCTTGCAAAAGAAACACTTCTTGTCTTTTCGGATTTGGCTTTGTGGACCTTTCACAAAAGTCTTATCCTTGTTTTTTCCCTTTTTACCAGGCTTTCCTTTGCTGCTGCTGGCACCATCATGACCCATGAGATGGATTGCTTGATCCTTCATCTTCTTTAATCTACCTTCCTCTTGAACTAACATGGCCTTTAATTCTTGAAAGTTCCACTTATCCTTAATGGTGTTATAGTTCACCTGAAACTGACCAAATTGATCTAGAGGTAGAGAGTTAATGATGAATTGAACCAAGAATGATTCACTCACATCCATTCCCATGCTCTTTAACTTCGTTGCCAAGTTAGACATGTGAGTCACATGATCATGGATAGGTTGAGACCAGTCAAACTTCTTAGTAGTCAGCTCACTCATTAGCCTTCCTACCATTGACTTATCAGCTAAATCAGATTTTGAACACTGCTTAATCACATGCAAGAATTCCTTTGCACTCTCTGTCTTAGGCATAGATGGCTCGATACTTTCAGCCATAGTCATCCTCATGAGATTCAAACACAACCGATTTGATCGCTCCCATGCCTCATAAAGAGACTTTTCTGCATCGGAGCTAGAGTCTGTAATGGTTGCGGGCTGCTCATCCATTTGAATTGCAAGGTCCAAAGACATAATAACCAGTGTGAACCAGATTTGTTCAGACCAATCATCATAATTATTCAGCCCATTGAATTTCACAACAGATTAGCAAATGAATATAAATTTGATGAAGCTGCGGAAAAAAAAAATAATACATGCTCACCTATTAGAGATTTGATAAAATATAATACAGATTTTAATATATATAGCTAACTATATATGGTTTATGATATGCATCTAAGTAACCTTTGGGCTATACTTAAATACAGAATATCATTGATGCTAAAAAAAAATACTTTAATAATTGACATAACATATATTTGCTAAACAAGTATGTTATCTGTGGATAAACATACTACTTAACAAAAATAAAGGTATGTCCAATACTTTACATATTATTGACTATATTCAATGATCCATCTTTGGATGATCTCCTTGAATATACTCAATAAAAAAAAATGATCAATAATAATTAACCTAGTTATAGCATCATTTTAATCATGATCAATTGAAATCTAATTTATAATTCATAATTCATAATCTAAATATTAACAAACATAACTAGGCCACTTTGGTGACTAACAAGTTACAACATCTTAATTAGACCTTGAATTATAAGCGCACTACCGAAATGAAACAATTATGCATGCCATTAAGTAATTATACTAAATTAAATCATTCAATCAAAAATCGGCCAACATCAAATCAATAATAAATAGGCCATACAAATCCAGTACTATACGCACTAATGCACAATGCCGATTGATTAATTCGATTAAAAATATATATATAATACAAATAAGAAATCATGCATACAATGATCAAATCATGCCATCAAAAGGTATATATTTGCCGCCAAACTTTGACGGTTAAGAAAGGCAAACGTCAAACATATTTGCAACTACACAAATAAAAATACGCAAGCGCGTAATATGGCCAAACAATAAATTCTTAATGCGTGAATAATGATAGTCTATACCCGCTCTAATACCAAATGTGAGAAAATTTACGGATTTCGTTCATGAAATCAAATACAAAGTATCGAGACTACACATAATTCAACACAAAGATTATGACAAAAGACTAACCTTGTTCCATTGTGAATCTTGATAGCGATCTCTAGAGATTTTTCTTCCCTTTAGCCTTAGTAATTTTTTTTGAAACTAATGTTATGAGTTTTCATGAAAATAATAACAGCCCATAACTTCCTCTTTTAACCATAATATATATATATATAATATATGTGCCTCTTCATAACCAACCTTTATTTTAATGTTGGTGTCTCTTCAAGTGAATACTAATAATATTATATATATTTCTTAATAAAAGATATCATATAATATTTTAATAGACAAGGGACGAGGGAATAATAATACTCCCAGATTTTAATCTCATTAATAGAAACCAATTCATCACAGTATCATATTTATTATTAAAATCTAATAACATTACTATAGACTTATTTCTTTTATTATTAAACCTTTGACACATAGGTCACATGGAATATTTAATAAATATTCTAACAAAAAGAACCATCGAAAGACTACCCTGCCTTTCCTTGAGTACATACATCAGATTATCATTAAAACATTTCATGCGGTACTTGGCCAAGTTCATCAACAATCTGCAAAACCAATGCGGCATCGTCCAAGCTTCGAGGTAATTTTAATTTGCATCAGCCAAGTTTAATTCACCACCAATTCACCGTCCATTCACCGCAAACAGCAATTCGACACCCAATTACTACAATTCTGGGTTTAATTTGCAGTAATTTGGCAAAGAGGAGAAAGAAAATGGGTGGAGCAGGGGTTTAGGGTGATGCGTGGGCTGACTTTGAGAAGAATAAAAGAGGAGGGAGAAAGAGAGAGAGAGAGAGAGAAGGCTTGTGGTGTAGGATTAAAAAAAAAAAAATATTGTGGCTGACATATTATGTTGCCTCTCTAGACTATTCTGCTTTGACCTATCAGGATATCGATCATTATTTGGATAGCAAGTTTTCATGTTTCTTACACCTAGTCTTAGATAGATTAGGGCATGATCTTGTAAAAAGATGTTGCTTTTTTTTTTTTTTTTTAAAGATGTAAATAGACGTTTCTAATCTCAACATGTATCTTATGTTTTCAAAAAAGAAAAAAAAAGAATTTTTTTTGTAGGAAACTACCTAATAAAATCCAGAATTTGTGAGGAACTACGTAATTAAAAAGTTGTAAAAAAGTACCTAATAAAAGGAAAAATGTTGTAAAAGGCTACCTCTAGCTGGATTTTCCATGTTGACCTATTATTCAGGCATTGACCCACCACAAAAAAAAAAAAAAAAAAAAAAAAAAAAACCTAGAAACCACCCTCTTTGTGTGTTTTTGGGGTTGGAGGGTGGTTTCAGCTTAGTGGAGGTAGTTTCAAGCGGGTTTCGTTGGTTTCGGGGATGAAAGCGGGTGGTTTTGGAGGTGTTTTATAGTGGGTCAATGGCGGAAAAGTCGATCAGAGGTAGTCTTTTACAACATTTTACCTTTTATTAATTAGTTTTTTGCAACATGTTTTTTATTAGATAACTAGATTAGAGCTCGTGCGATGCACGGTAGTAATAATCTTCTTTTCCATAATATATTGTGATATAATATAAAATGAGCAAACATATAGAATAAACAAAAATGTAATGCATATAAGAAAGATGAAATAATAAGGTAAAAATTATTAAAACTACAATTGAGAAAAAAAATTTATTGTTGATTAGTTGTGTTAAAATATTTAAAAATAGTAACATTATATTAAATTAATGATGCATGTTATTCCCAATAATACTATACAATGTAGATGTCGTAGAACGTTTTATTAATTTAGGTTAAAAAAAAACTATACAATATACTTCCAAAAAATAAGCTAAGTAGAATAATTAAAAAAAAAATTAAAGCTGACATCATATATTGTACTCAGAATTTTTTTTTAATGTTAGCCTGACATATGTCCAAATTCCAAAATGATCTATGTAAGTATGACTTGTTTTAGTAATAGTTAGTAGATTTTTTGAAGGAAAAAAGTTATAAGTTGGTAAATCAACACCATGAATAGATTTTATTTTTTTTTATTTTTTTTTTTACCATTGAACCCCACTACTGTACAACTATATATATAATGGTAATTTGAATGTTAATATTGTATTTTTGGCTTCGTTATTTTATACTCTCCACCGTATTTCAACTTTCTAAATTATAACTCCCTTAATTAAAAGGTCTCAAAATCTTCTATAACTATTTTAAGTAAATAGAACACGATATAAAAAGGAATACAATCATTATAAAGATAATATATAAGATTCGGAATAATATTAATAAAGTTTTAATATACAAATAGTCAAATATACCAAAAATAAAATCTACTAACTATTACTAAAACTAAACATTGCTAACATCATCAACCCTTAAACTACCTTACGCGTCATTCTCACAATAAAAATTTTCCCTCCAATTTTGTGCGTGGTGTCATCAATTATTAATGGCTTTTTTATTTTTATTTTTAATGTACACCTTTAACTTCAACGCATAAGTGTCTATATAAAATTCAATTAACCAAGTTTCTCTCCTAATTAAATTATAGTTTCACATACATAACTTGTTGATGTTTGTTCGTGGTTTCAAATTTTTTTTTTACTTCTTTAAATGTAAATTATTTTTATATTAAATTTTAATGTTCAAATACAATGTAATGCAACAAAACATAAATTACATCAATCTAATCGTGCATCACACGAAAATAACCTAGTATTTTTTGCTAAAAAGGGAGAGAGAGTTTTAAAAGGAAAAAATAGCACCAATAAGTGATACGTGTCATTTATATGTCTGTTTTAATATTATGTTATTGAAAAAATCCAAAAAGAAAAAAGCCCCATCTTCTCCCGGAGAAACAAAGTAGCACCAAAAGTTGAGAAAAACTCAAGTCATAACAAAGTCGCAACAGAGCAAGCAAGCAAACTACATAGAAACCTGCTTAAAAATGGCGTATTCAACCGCTCGTCGAACCCTTACAACTCTCTTGACTCGAACATATTTGCGCAACTCTTCATCACCTTCTTCAATTCTCTCTTCCAACGCTCGATTTTCTCTCTCTTTCCTTCAAACCCATTTGCAACCCTTACTTTCTCCCAATTCAGCTCCGATTCAAATTCGCCCCAAATCAACCGGGTCGGGCTACTCGCCACTCAATGACCCGTCTCCAAATTGGACCAATCGTCCCCCTAAAGAAACCATCTTATTGGATGGTTGCGATTATGAACATTGGTTGATTGTAATGGAGTTTCCTACTGATCCTAAACCTTCTAATGATGAAATGATTGACTCTTATGTTAAAACCCTAGCTCAAGTTGTTGGCAGGTTGCTTAATTTTTCTGGGTTTTTGGTTTAATTACTGTTTTTGATGGTTTTGATTAATGGTGTTTTTGTTTATTTTTTTTTGGTTTGGAGCAGTGAGGAGGAGGCGAAGAAAAAGATTTACTCTGTTTCGACTACGACGTATACCGGGTTTGGTGCTTTGATTTCTGAGGAGCTATCTTACAAGGTTAAAGGTAATCGAATTCGGTTTTTGGGGGTTTAGGGTTTAAGCTATGTTAATTTTATGTGTTGATTGAATATGTTTAATTTTGCAAGGCAATGTCTCAATTGTGTAGCAAGCTTTGTATTATGATTAGACAATTGTAATGTACATTTCATGATTTCTATGATAAACTTTCTCAATTAAGTAGCAAGCTTTATATGATGTTAATTTCTGGTCCTGGTTAAATCTGCTTAATTTTGAAACATTATGTTTATAATTAGATAATTGTACAAAGTCTAGTTTTATATGATTGCTAATTCATGGGGTAGAATTCTTGTTTGTAGCATGTGTAGTACATTTCTTGATTTCTGTGATATGATCTCTTAATTGAATAACAAGCTTTTTATTTTGTTTCCTGTAATTCGTTACGTTATACAAGATGGCTGTTAGGTTGTGAGGTTTTGAAACCTCTTCGCATACACAGCATTTAACTACAGCACGACTTTGTTCAGAAGTTTGGTGTTTCTTCATTCTTAGTTACGAAAGAGATCAAGATATGAGCTGCTAGTTCCAGGATGTGCTTATGAAAGAGCCTTGGTAGCTTCAATGTTGTCTTTGGTGTTTTTCTTTGACAAATCAGAGGAAATTTCTAGTTGTGTTTTTGTTTTGTAAATTCTTTCTTGCTCGGATTGGATCGTGAGTAAGTTAAATTGCTTTTATCTATGAGTTCTATACTCCTAATATTAAGTAGTTTGCCAGCGGTATCTTGATCGGAGTTTGATTTATCTCATCTTCCATACCCACTGCAATTATTTTGACTAGATTTATATAGTTAGTGTTTGGGTTGAAGTAATCAACATTTGGTTTGTTCTTTTTGTGACAGCCCTACCTGGCGTCCTTTGGGTCTTGCCTGATTCTTATCTTGACGTGCCAAATAAAGATTACGGAGGTGGGTAATAAATGCAAGAGATGATCTCACAAAACATTCTTGTGTCGCATTTTTTTTTCTTTTCATTATAGCTGTTTATAGCTGAAGAGTGTTTGGCTTTGATCTGCAGGGGATCTTTTTATTGATGGGAAGGTTATCCGAAGGCCACAATATGATTATAGTGAGAGGCAGCAGAATAATAGACCTAGGTCTCGTCCAAGGTATGATAGGCGCCGTGCAAAAGTGCAGAATGTGGGTAGAGCACCGATACAGACACAACAACAAAGTTGGACACCAGACAATACGCAGACAATGCAGCAGCCAATCTCTACAAATGTCCCAGATACAAGTTAAAGTCATGGCCTCATGGAGAAAAATCAGAAAATCCTGGCCTAAGTTATTAGAAAGTATATTAAATCACCATAGCGACTATTTGATCTTTTCAAAGTGGTATGATTTTCGTTTAGCCCATCTTAATAGATAAGTATGAACTAGGTATTTTTTTTTTCGTGTTATCAAATATGTTGTGAAGGCAATACATGTGGATAATCACCTGGTAGTTTGTCTTCAGACTCTTGCTATTGAGGAACCATATCGAAGAAAATTATGATGTAAAATTAACCTTAAACTTAATTCCCTTACCCTTTGCCGTGACCAATATAGTAAAAGTAATCATTAACACTCTGTGCTCCTGCCTTTACATGGTTTCATTCTTCCATTTACCTGAAACAGATATATCTTTGTAATAAGTTATTTTCGAAAGTGGTGGCAATTGATTTAGGAGCAATTGTGGTTAACCCCTAAAGATTGCGATAATTAATGGGAACCTTTTCCCCGAAAACTATTCTCCTCTGATTACTGGTCTCTGATCTTTTTGCTCATATATGTAGTACTATGTGCTCCTAGATATTTTGCCATTGCCATTGATGATTGCTGCTCCTCTCTCCCTTCTCCAGGCTAACTTGTATTTTGCTCATTTGCCACTTTGTTTGCTCTAGCTTTTTGATGTAGTGTTTGCTATTAGGGAATATTATCTGCAATGTACATGCAATTGTACATTGGGGGGGGGGGGGGGGGGGGGAGGGGCGGGCGGGCTTTATGTGTTCTTAAAAATGCATTTATTGAACTAGCAAAAAGCCAAAAACCACACTTTTAATAAAGCTTTTGCACTCTTTTGGTTTTGGCCTCCCACTTGCTTGCTACTTCTTTGATTATTTGTTTTAAGCATTCTAATTTATTTTAGAATTAAATTAAATGCATCTATTTCTCAACTTTGCAAAGTCCCACATTGATGAAATATCAAGGGGATGGAGATGTTTCTCATACGGAAAAGTATTGGCGTATAGCACCTATGTGCTTAGAAAGTGTATAGGATAGCACTGGTTTTCTAGTGGTACAATTTAAAGTACAAAACGTACGTACCACTTTGATTAAATGTACCAATGTGGTTTCAGTGGTACATTTTCGGAGTATTAAATGTACCACTAGCACAGTCAAGTGGAATATTCAAGTTTTCTAATGCTTGATAAATTACGCTTCTGCCCTCTTATACACTTCGTTTGTTAATACGTGCTATGCGCTGATATGCACTCTCTCATATATATACCAAGCTTGCCTTGGGATTTGCATTGCAAGAGTTGAACTCTACAAAGGCATCCCCATTGAGAAAACCTTAAGAGATTTTCTTATTAGTAGTGTTGATATTATCCTTGCTAATAATATCGACCAAGTTTTCGGGCGCGTGGGTGGACTTTGTTGGAGGAGTTGCATTTGAGGCTCTCGCTTCAAAGGTATGAATGTCTATTCCCTCCTCTCTCTCTCCCTCTTTAAGTGTTTATCGCTTTATTAATTGAATGTTTGTTAGTTAGTTGTATTAATTATGCATATGATCTGGGGTGGGTTTTGGGTTGCGCATAGTGCTCGCGCACCGTAAAACCCAACAGGGAAGCTGCGCATAGGAGTGCTAATCGCGTTTTTGGCACAGGCGAGGAACAGCAGGAGAAGTTTGAGCAATTCTAAGTCAGGGTTGATCGAGTAGGGAATCAGGATGCTTATGTTAATCCTGCTGATCACCCTCGCGTGGCTGCATGGGTAGCCCATGCCGTTCTCAACAAGGTTCTAGCTGAGTCTCCTGACATTGCTACTGCCATTGGGGTGGAGGCTTTCCCTGCCAACCAATAAAGGTTTTGGCGGGCATCTCCCTCTTCTTTCAATGGTTCATCAAAGTATCCCTCCCCTTACTCTATAGTAAGCTAGTATTGTTAGCTTTTTGCTTCTTTTTCCATTGGGGTGCATGGCTGCCAGTGGGTATATGTTTTCTTGAGGCTTTAGGGTTGTGTGTGCTCTTGCTGTTTGTTATTAATTTTCTTCTTCTTTAGCTGTGACAACTCTTTTATGATTATGGGATTTATATTTCGGTTTTTACCTAGTGTCGGGGGTGTCTGGCACAAACTTGAGCTCCTTATGCGGAGGCTCCTTCCTACTTTTGATTTGTTGTTTTTGCATTTACTTTTAGCCTTTCTACTTGCTTTCTTTGTTATCTATGCTTTTCATATTGCATGCTTCCGTTGGTTGAATAAGGGCCTAGTAGTCTGATGTCAAAAGAAAAAGGTACTTCATTTTGTGCCATCTGAAGTCATCTCTTTTCTAGCTGCTTTCTCTGGCCTTCTGGCTGCGCTGCTGACTACCTTTGCTTACTGGTATTTTTTGTAATACCCTAGAAATTTCCTCCTTTTTAAAATACTCTTTTTACTATAAATAAAACTCATTTTAAGAAATAAACAAAATATTACCGCCACCGTGATAACGGCTAAGGCTATTTTCAAAGTCAAACAGCGGAAGTCTAAAACTAAAAACCAACTTTTCAAAATAAAACTTGAGTTAACAACCTCAAAATATGAGTAAAATAAAACATCCACAAGTTGGAACCAATTTAATTATGCCCCTTCAAAAACCATCTCAAAATAAAGCATAACAATGTTAGTCCATGAATAATAACCAACAATTCAATAAATAAAACTAAGAAAGCATAACAAGTAACTCTCTACACTCAATCCATTCAAGTTCTTCATGCTTCAAGTACCTGTCACTTTATCTTTATTTCAACCCCTCTACTCACCATATAAATGGGTCATAGTAGGGCCAATCCAAAGGAAAGCCAAACACAAACACAAAGTACGAATCAGCAAAAGCTGTGTTGGGTTTTACGATGTCCAACACCGCGCGGAAACAAAACCTCCCCAAAGATCCATGCCTAAATTAAAGCGACCAAAACTAAAACATGTATATAATTAATTAAGCGATAAACACATAATAATAAAGAGAGAGAGAGAGAGAGAGAGAGAGAGAGAGAGAGAGAGAGAAGAAGAAGGAAAAGACGATCATACCCTTGATGTGTGTTTTCCACTTAGCACGAACACGAACTCACGAATGGAGAAAGAGCCTCAATTGCGACCCCTCCAACGCGGTCCACCCACGTGCCCAAACTTTGGTCAATATTACCGGCTAGGGTAATATTAACGCTACTTACAAGAGGATCTATTAATAAGGTTTTCACAATGGAGATGCCTTTTATAGTGTTCAACTCTTGCAATTTATTCCCAAGGTAAGGTATGGGTAGGTCAATACGAGGCTAGGGCTACGCATTATTGTTGTTTGACTTATTTGTACGTCTCGTTAATTCCTAGAATTTAACTCGAGGTTCGACGTTCGACTTCAACACTCTAAGCCCGGAATCCGACGTCAGAGTGCTTATCCTCTTGTTTGGCGTATCAAGTCCTTCAGCTTAATTTGTCGATTTAGTTTGGTTGCACGCTTGGGTGTGACTTGTTTGGTTTAGTCAAAGGAAAGTTGTGAGATTAATATAATTAATCTCACTGATCGGAGATGGCTTCTAGCTCGACTTTCCGATCACTTGACTTCACTGAATAATTAACTCCATTCTAAACCTTCTATCGGAATAATACACTTGTTCAAAGGACACCATTCCTTTAATCTCCCACTTATCCTTCCGGACAAGTGTGCAATATGTGTACTGCCCTTTTCCCTATGTCGCTTAATGTCTTTTCATGAACTATAAGGTAAGATTTATCGTCATCCTTATTACGTCTAGAAGTGTTTCTCGAAATTCTGAGTTCGACTGTCAAGTACAGATTATTTCTAAAATCCATCTGAGCACGGCCAGTCATTTTCACAGTCTAACTCTTCGAGAGGCCTTGTAAACAACAAAGACTAGGTCTCTTACTAAGAGACCTAGTTGCACGAGCGTCGTCTTTATAATCCCCTTTTACAGCAGACGTTTGACTAACATCAAAACAAGCTAGTTCTCTTAATAGCAAACTTACAATACTCATGGTTGAGGAAAGAGGTACCGATAACAATAATGAGAAAAATACTTATGACGATTTTAAATCTCTTAAAGTATTCTCGTAAGTCGATCCAGTATAGTTCCAAACTAATACTTGTGCAAATGATTTATGACATTCTTGTCCTTGTAACACAAGAAACGGTGTTATAAATCATACTACACACTAATCTTGCGCTGTCATTAGTCGTCCAACCTTTAAATGACCTTGATTAGGGATAATTTCGATATGACATTCAATGTTCACTTAATAGGTGTTTCTTTATCCAAGACATTGTCTTGATAACCTATTTTGAATGTCTTCTAATCGAATGGACTCATTGTTTAATTCTAAGCCACAATTTTAGACATGGAATAATGATAATTTTGTAGAACAATAAAATTACTCCATATATGAATGGTTATCATAGTGTTTTACATCAAGATGCCCAAAACTTAATTAAAACACATAAAGTGGGAAATTAGAGCCAATCTCCAATGTGCCTAATTCTCATTGCCTCAACGTGCTTGTTGTGTTTCACTTGAGGCAAAGGTTTAGTAAGTGGATCGGCTATGTTATCATCCGTACCAACTTTGAAAACCTTGAGTTCACCTCCGCCAATCCATTCCCTTATGAGGTGAACCCGCCGCTTGACATGTTTGACCTTCTGATGTTGCCTTGGCTCCTTTGCCTGAGCAATAGCCCCACTATTGTCACAATATAGGTCTATCAGTCTCTCGATTGAGGGCACAACACCAACTTCAACAATGAACTTTTGAATCCAAACTACTTCCTTAGCTGCTTCTGACGCTGCTAAGTACTCGGCTTTAGTTGTAGTATCTGCAACTGTGCTTTGTGATTTGGGTAAATACCTAGGCCACGTGGCCCAATTAGAAGGGGATACGTATCACCCCAAGAGAGTTCCAAAAAGGACCAACCACTAGTTGACACGTGGCATTCCCAATCAACAGGGAAAAGGCGGCCTTCAAAAGGCTCAAATCCTGGTACGCCGTAAAAACAGCGCAGCCCATTTGCCTAGGTTGATAACCTAGAAAAGGGGTGCTGATTCCTAATACCTATAAATAGGGACATTTACCCCATTTTGGGGACATGTTCATTTATTACATCACAATCAATTCTCACTCATCAGAGAAAACACCTGATCTCAAGATCCGAGAAGATCTACTTTATTTTCCGTACTTTTACTTTACTTCAACCGTTTCTAACTTGATCGTTAGAGGCAGAACTCTAAACCCTCGGAGCTTCTGTTTGTTTGCAGGTACAGTCAAAGAGAAACTAGTCTAGGTGAAGTAACTCTCCCGCAGGACATCTCGCAAA